ATAAAAACAGGTGCTGCTTAATTCCACCCTGTACTTGTCAGTGCTGCTATATATTACCTTCCCATCTGTACCTACTTCTTAGTCTAAATTGTAACATTTAATTGAGACTCTGAACAAGAAACCGAGGACAGAAGCACAATAGGGACACAGTTAACCAAGAGAGCCCTTATCTCGTTTGAACACACAAGCTTAACTGGTGCAATACGAAAGGATTTGCAATGTGTGAGCTGGTGAAATGCTATGACAACATCTAAATGACCTCTTACATTGTAAACTGTCTTAGCCTGTGATGCAAGTCTCATTTAAGTAACAAGGCTCCGCACACTGCTCGCCAATCATGTCTGCAATACCTGGTGATTCCTTGTGTTGGGTCTGATTGTTTAAACGCCAGACAATCCTCCAAAAGTTCTTTGTTCTTTGGCTGCCTATCACGAGCAACTCAGTTAGGAGCATCTCTGTCTGACTGGAAGTCACTGAACGAGAAGAATGGAGCTCCACACAAAGAAAGTCCAGGCAGATCCTTGTGGATGCAGCAGGGTGTTTATCCGTTTATCAGTAAGTGCGCGGATTGTATTTTTACACCGTAAATCCTGCAACAAAAGGACAAATTAAGAGGAGAATGGGATGCCGTCACTTTAAAAATTGACAAGCCGTCCACTGCTAATCTCATGTGCTGGGGCAGGGAGCAGGGAGCTGTCAATCAGCTCTTCATCGGAGTGACAGGGATTCGTTCCCGCCACCTCCCTCCTCCCCTTGCTGTCATTCACAGCGCTCCTGCCCTTATCTCCTGCTAAAGGCCATGTGGGGATGCCAGGCCACTGCATACAGGTGCAGATGCCTTAATTCCTCCTTACAGTCAAGGAGAATAGCCAGGCATATTGGGGCTTCTGTGCTCAAAACAGTATAAGGATGGTTTAAAATGAGGGGAGTCCTTTAGCCCATTTTGCATGGTTCTCATTAGGTTGTTAATAGCAGATGGATCTGAGTATGGCCTAAAGCTCTTTCTCAGAAGAAGCCATCACCTTGAACAACATAGCTGGGTAGCTGGTCACAGACTCCCAAAACCCCTAGTGTAAAAAGTGCTTCCAGTTCTCAATTTTAAATGCACCTCCCCATAGTTTTCATTCACGTACTGCTGTTTGTGTTTCACTGCCAATGCTGAAGACGCCCACGGTGTTGACTTTGTCAGTGCCTCTGAGGAATCTGAATACTGATCACAGAGGATTTTTCAGCAGAAACTCATTTACCATGTATACGCTAAAGAGAAACTGTCTGCTACGTTTACAGTGAAGGGTGTTTGAGATCTGTGAAAAAATTCCCAATTCTTTGAAACGGGCTGAGTTCACATGAGTGTCACACCACTAACATTAACAGTATTCCATCAATACATTACTTTGTATACAGTACACTTGATTTAAGTATATATACACACAGTACATGCATATAGTCTATAGTTTTATGTGTAATGTAGCACTGTGATTGAATTATACCCATAATTCATTGCAACTGCTGCTCATACCTGCCACCCAAACCTGGAAGGGTGTTCAATCTAATACATGTACTGTACAGGTCTTTGTCACTGAGCAAAGCTGGCTGTGCTTTGCTGATGAGCCCGAATAAAGCTGTCCATTGCTGCCAGGTTTGATTTTAAATGTGCAAAAAAAGCAGAATGAGAGGTACTAAAGCAGTTCTTTGCCCTGTAGAGTTGTGAGTGGCTGAAGATCTAATTAATATTCATATCTATTTCTATACATTTGTGAAAGGTATATATATGTATAAAAATAAATCCTGGAGCCTGAACAACACCACGTTTAAAAAAAAATCAGAGGAACATGCTTTCGGTGTTCAGAAAAAAGCCAGTACTGTACAGGCTGTACGGTGCATTCCCAGCATGCCTCTGCCTCGCTGTGAGATGATGTGGTGTGACTCGCAGCAGGGACCTCCAGGAGCAGGACAGGGTAATAAGTCCCCTCAGGCATCACCCATAAACGCTCCATCAAGCCAAGAGCAGCACCACAATCCATCTCTGTAACAATCGAGTCACCGCGTGCTGAATGGCCCCTTCTCATAAGGCCCTGATTGGTGGGAGAACAGAGGTCAAAGGGGCTTTATTAAACCACCATCCTCTGACTCCAATTACTGCCCCCTCCCAAGACCATGTATTCAGCCCACTATGAGCTGACATTCCAGGCAGGTTCATTCTACACCTACTGTAGCTCTGCATCGCTCTGCACAGCAGTGTCAGGCACACTCTGTTCAACAGCTATTCAGAGCCACTTGTGCAGCTGCCTGCCCTGAAAGGACCACCGTTCGGTGTTATCTGCTCCACACAGCTCTGAGCTTTAATAAGCATAGATTTCCCAATAAATCTTCAACTCCAAAGAGGAGTAAGTAATGTGTCATAATTCTCAACAGTTAATGCAATTTAAATACGTTAGTTACAGCGTTCTGTAACTAACGCGTCTTCTCAGATAGAGTTTTTAAAAGTAAAAACATATGAACACAATAAAGTTTGCATTTTCAAAAGCCCACATCAAATTGAGAAAGCTTAAATGCAGATAATTTAAAATGAGGACGCCCCTCTTCACCCAAAGAAAGAGAAACCCCCCAGAAATTCCTCAAGAATTTCTGCACACAGGGCAAAGAATTTATACCTTCAGCAATGACGTCTGCATATCACAGATGTAAATTCCTAATACTGAAATGAAGCCCCTTATTGCTGTTGGAAAGAGAGGTGCTGGTTTGCACAAGCAGTTGCTGTTCATATGGGTCTATAGATCTCTTACATATGTACCTTTTGGCAAGATGTGTGATCCTGTGTTCACAGAAAAGCAGGCCTGGCAATCAAATGATTTTACATCAGCATCTATGGCAACACAATAGAATACCAGTTTCAAAACTGTTGTTTCTTTCTTGCATCACAGCTTTGGACACAATAAAAGACCAATCATCATGTTGCCCAAAACATTTCTCCTTTTGCCTCCTATTGTTATCATTATTATCCCATAAATGATTTTTGACATTCTGTGAAAGAACACAGAATGATGGCTGAAAAGATTGTGGGATGCTGTATTCTGGAAAACATCTGTGCTTGTAAAAAATAAACAAGAGTTGTTTTATAAGCATAGTGAGTTTTATTTGCTGGGTCTTCCTGCCATCTCTGCTATCAGTAGCAGATGTGGGATTCTCAGTATTAAACATCACCTGCTAACATATTACATACTCATGTGTACAATATTAGTCACATCGAGATTATGATATTACTCAATGACCTGAAACTATGAAGAAATAAATGAAAATGAATACACTGATCAAAGCAACCAATCCCAGATCAAGTTAAGAGATGGTTTGAACAGAGTTGTCTCCAGGATGCCATAAGAAGTTATATTTCAATTATTCATTCAGGATAAAAGGACAATGTAAAATCTACATCTAACTTAATCTTACTTCACAAATCCCTGGCCTGGCCTTACAGAAGTCAGAGGTACTCCTTATTTATCACTGTCTTATGTCTGTTGGCATTAACATTTTGAGAGCCTTTGGTTTTCACTATGCTGGTAAAAAATAATGAAATAATGCTCTCGGGAAAATAAAAACTGCAATTTTCTTTCAGCTAAAGACAAGTGGAATGCACTTTGAGATGGAAAATGACTCTTTAATTGTATATTGATATATTGCAAAACACAAATGACAACAAATTCAGAGCTCGTCTAACAAATTATAGGGAACAATTCAAACAGTTTTTTTTATGGACTTTTAAGTGATTCCCATAATGAATAAAGATAAAACCTAAAAATCTGTAACCTACAGTACATACAGTAATGATTAGTGTAACTTGAACAGTGAAGCTTCCGTATCTGTGAGGTCAAGAAGATCTGATTATTTGAAGCAGTGGATACTGGTACAGGTTTAATTTAATATTTCACACATATATTATACGCAAATGATGTGCTGTCTTTCGAATGTACATTTCTGAAGCAGTATGCAAAATCTTCGACTCACTATGGACCACAAACGACTACTGCGGTAAAGGTTCAGTCCACACCACCTTGCGAACTACAGACAAGATATGTTGTTAAACTGATTCCTTTTGACTCGGACCTGCAGGCAGCTTTCCCTCTGACAGGGCATTCATGAATTTTCAGTTTTCTGCCTTGGCAGCGGTACAAACTGTATAGGAGACACCTGGTGATCACATGGTTAATGTGCGTACCGAATTGGCATGATTCCGCCGGCGCTCCGATTGGAAATCGGTGTCTGTTGATGCGAGGAAACAGCGGCCCCCACGGGCAGAAAATGATAAAACCAGTGTTCGTAAACTAGCAGTACAACACTAAGGTGTCTTCCAGTCCACCAGATCCTTTTCCTTTGAGGAAGAAAGCACATATAGACATACAATAAACAACCATCGTCTTTCAGAGATATATTATGCTGCCACCATAATCAGAAGAATAAAAAAAACAGTGGTAGGTATATACCCTTTCATTACCATTTAAACTGTGAAACGTGCGGTCTAAGGATTCTTACACTTACGAAATTTGCTGTACCGAAAAGGACTTTTAAATTAATTCAGTTTAATTCCGTCGTTTTTTCTCCCTAAATGTATTATTCAGCAATTGTGAATACTTTTTGCAATTCCAAAAATTCAATGTCCTCGAAGAAGTAATTAAGTCTTTCAATGGTATAGTTAGACTGTGCCAGTTCATGACAGCCGCTGAAGACAAAAGATGCACGCCTGTAACAACGTGTCGAGCTATTTTCCAGGCAGTAATTCAAAGCAAATGTGTGAACACATTGAAAATACATATTTAACCGGGGAGGAATGTGGTCGAGATACTGACCACTACAAAAGCAGAACAAAGAAACGGGACACTTGTATAATAAGGGGGGTTTATTTTGTATCATCTGATTAGCAGCATCTGAAAGAGTTCCTTGTGTGGATGTATGCGTGTGGAAATGTCCGTGTGTGTGCATGAGAGATGGACCAGATGTAAACTCAGCACTCGAGAGACGCGCAGGGCAGGGTTTGCGCTGCGAGGTGACGAAAGCTTGAAGAGGTGGAGTTTGGTTGTGGTGAGCCAGTAGCTACTGCAACAGCAGAACCGAGGAGCAAGGGAGGCTGTCAACTCGTGGGTCTGAGAGGGCTGTCAAAGAGAGGAGGGAGGGGAGGTTAGGAGCGCTGGAGTACGCATCTCCGCTCCAGATGGTGATTTAAACGCAGGCAGAAGGCTTCGGGAGGAAGAGAGGAGAGAGAGAGAGAGCAGGAGACTGTATATAAGACAGTAGCACAACACCGCCGAGTACTTAAAACCAAAATACAACGATATTAAAAAGAAACAGGAGAAAGCATAAATGCTGTAACCCAAGTATTTATTTAATGAACTTGTTTATAGCATCTACAGACGACTAGTGTTAGAGTGAATGGAGCCATTCTATTGCCTGAGCAGTTAATGGATTGGTCGGCAGTAGCAGTCTGCGAGGGTTCTTTAGAAGAACCGACGGAAGAAATTAATTAATCTGTACAGAATTGGTTGTTTCCAGAAAACCAGCTGTATGAACGTTGATTCATCCGAGTCGGGGGTTGCTGTTTAAATACCCGAGACTAGTCTCTGAGTATTAAAAGCTGAACTGGGACCGGCGAAGGATCTTCACGCCAAAAATATTCGCATCTTTATTTCGGAAGAAGTACAGTGCACAACAATATGGGATTTTAAACCTATTGGAGCCTGCAGATAAATACAGCCAACTCAAACGCTGACATTTTAAACGGACTTTCCAATATGAGTCCACGATAATTGTGTCATTGTATCTTGGTGGCTGAAGACCCTCCAGCACTTGGCGATTTCTTTTTCGGGATCCGTTCAATGCTGGGATCGAATCAACGAAAGATGAGGCATAAAGGAAAACAAAAAATCTAGGAAAAAAAACGAACGGAGAAACCTGAGTACATATAACAAATAAAAGAAATGCATTTAATATTTTGAACGAAGTCCTCAAGCTGTTTTTTAAGATTGAAAAAAGAAGGTAAACCAAAGACAGACGCATCTAAGGGAACAAGTCTCAGACTTCTAGCTTTGCAAGACGAAATATCATCATTCGGACAGAAAGAAACTGGGAAGTTAATTACCTCATACTTAATTTAACTGAAATGTCAACACCGCTTTAAATCCAAAGGAGTCGAATGCTTTTAAAATTGTATTATCGTGTATAGTTTCAACCTGTCGAAGGATTTTTGTTCTGAAGAGCGATTTTTAATTATTTTCACTTGACCAAGAGGAGTAGAAGCATTGCTTTCGAGAGTGGCCAAGAATTGGTGGTTTTACTTTTTATTTCTTCCAAATATTAAGGATTGGTGAATTATGACTATTTCTTAAATTTAATGTGGATTATCGTTGCTGCAATTACCTCAGCCTGACCTCGACCTTCACAAAGTAAGTGTGATATTTGGACGTGTACTGTTCTAGTTATTCGTTGAAATAAAATCATGACTGGTAGTGAATCATGCAGAGATAGTTTATTGTTTTTTAAAAATATTTGGCATTACCTTTTACTTCCCAAACAACAGTAATCAATAACCTGGATCACAGATCAAAGCAGTTTATACTTGGCCCTTAAAAAAAGCCCTCCATGCCGTGTATTTTAAAATGAATATTCATTCTATTTTTCGAAAGTACCTTTATAAAACAATACATCTAAGGAGCTACAGTATATGAATTACCTTTTATTTTAATAATTATTCGGAAATCTAGTAGAACTGGACATTTAGTATCATAATATATCATAAGAAGCCCCGCTGCAAGTGAAACCTGTTATTAAACCGTTCTTGAATGCATTTTCAAATTTCCTTTCATTTAAGAATGTTACATAAAGCTACCATTGGCGTTATGACACTGTTGCGTGTGTGGTGGCTTTTTTTGTCTCGTCAAAGAGAACAGAATTCCACATTATTTTGGAAACCTTGCATTATTAGGGCCAAACAAACAAAAAATCATTATACGATAAAAGAAAATATTCTTAAAACAATACTTTCCTTACTATTCAGTCTCAGAGTTGGTATACGGTTATTATAATTCTTGTGGAGTGTTGGAGGTTATGAACTATTGTGTACGCGTACAGTATTTCATCATTTTCTTTTAATGGGGACATATTTGTAAGAAATTGTCAAATGTTTTTTAAATGTGTTCGGTTTAAATTAGTTTCGCATTGTACGACATCTTCGGACGTTCCCCGAGAATAACACTCGCTTTGCAACACAAGAGCGTTAATTAAATCGATGCCGCTGTGCTCTGAAACGACGAGGGAGCTGATGTTACCCTCACCTGTCCGCTGGCCAGTTCTCTGCGGACGCTCGCATGTCTTCAATGTTGTTCGCTTTGAGCGTTTGTGATATTTTCTATCCGCAACTCACTGAAACATGAAAATGGAGCCTGACAAGTAATTTCAGGGGCATGGAAGACGAGTATGTTGGTAAAACTGTTGCTATTGTCATTACTGTCGTTTTTTTTTTTAATTGCTGCCATTGTCTTCTTCCAGTACGCTACTGGAAAGGGCTAAACTATGAGGTTTTCTCTTACGCGAAACAAAGATATTTGGTTGGTTGTGATTTCATTGTGTATTAACGGAGAATTCCCTAAGATTCGTATATTATACTTTTCATTGGAGATTAATGAAGGTTTTAATAATCAGAAATAACCCCTACATCAATCTTAGGCGACCACAATTGTCATCCATTTCGTGTGCCAGAAGAAAATGTATTAACGACAGTTAATTTGATAAAAGAGTAGTAAAGAGATTGGGGTTTAAGTGATTTTCGAACCACCATAACTTTCCATATTACACAATGTATGATATCTGACTTAACTGTGCAAAACAGTGCTGTAGTGAAAAATGTAAAGGGAAGATACATTCTCACACATATCAAAGGGCACCTGAAACCATATGTGAAACTTCGATTTCCTCAGCAATGTATGTAATAGATAAAAATCTATTGCTAGATGTGTTTTTAATGGTACCCGTGTACAGAGGTGGTTTAAAAGGTGCTTTTCTGAACCCCTGCTGATAAATTCTGGCACCGATCCCTTTCAAGCTGATCATGGATACTTGCTTTCAGCAGTTGATTCAGTGTAGAGGTTTGCATTTTGGAGATCAGAGAGTAAGGGAAGTTCAAGGGATGGGAGCTCAAGGCAGTGATCACTAGACGGGATTTCCAGTTCTGTAGCTCTTACGTCTACAGTACCTCACCCGACTAAAGCATTTCTTTGGACATCTTTGCACACCAGCTTGAGATGTGAGCTTGTACCATCACATAAGGGGGGCAGTTCTGAATGTTCATAAGTGCTGAAGATAACAAAGGTTGGGATCCACTTAAAGATGGTCCAGCCACATTAAAGCCGAATGAAAAAGGAAAAGAAAATCAGAACTTGGCTAGTCTGAAACCCGAAATGTAAAATTAAAGCATTTCTAGTAGATCGGACTGGAGAAATGTGGTGAAGTAGACACCTGTGATATAATTCAACAAACACCAAATCCACCTGTGATGACTAAAAAAGTACTGACAGACATAATTTACAGTTCTGTCTTGTTCACATCATCTTCTTAAAGTGCTGGACCAGAGGCTCAAATCATAAAAACATCAAGAACAGCTTTATAGTATTGGCCAATAAAACCTGACTGAGTTTTTCAATTACAAGGTTAGATACTGTTCCGCAGGTAAAACCAAAGAAAAAAGAAAACAGCACAGTTTCCTTCTCTCTTGCGAGTCTAATGATTCAACTCTGCAGTCGGTTAATTATGCCAGAAATTCAATTCACAAAACTGAGCACTTCAGAGTTACAGCCAGAACACTCAATATGGAGCCTCTCAGAACCAGCCAGGATAATGAATGAGTACACAACTGCATTGGGTATATTAAAGCCAAGGGATTCAATGGGTTGAATTCTGTATTGAGATCATGCTGCCAAATTTTCATAGTGCTTTTAATACACAAACTAGATTTGAGGAAAAGAAACTACAGCTCATCCAAAAATACCCACAATTTAAATGGAGCTGAACTGATTTTTTTGCTTTGAATTTCTCCAATAAACAATTCTAATTTCTTTCACTGCAGGGCTTTGATATACTATTTAATTGAGCCTGGTAAGGTTCAGTTAAATAATCAAGTAGTAAAGGACCTGGTAATAATGAAGAGAATAGATGGGAGGTCTAAAGATTATACTACTGTACAATAACTCACCAATGTACCACACTGCCAACAAGCACTTGCATGGCTTTTAAAGGAATACTTCCCACTTCATCATTAGGTACTTCTCTTTGAAGGAAACTATTTATCTTAAAGTACTTTATGACATTTTGCTCCATCTTTGGAACAAGGCTTGCATGGATCTATCTTGCTTAAGAACACAGACAGAAGGTATTATATGAGCCTAAGAAACAAACTCTCTGCCAAATTCAGAGGCCAGCAGGAAGCTAATAATAAGTAATAGAGTCCAATTCATCCAAAGACAGCTACTTATTTCAGAGAGCAAGGAAAGGTCCGTTAATCAGATTGTTTGATAGGCACAACTGGATTGTGGGAAAGATTACAATGATCAACAGGAAACTGAGTGGCTTGGATTAATTCCTTTTAACCTAGATTTGATCTTGTTCGCTTTACTTAACATCCACATTATAGATGACGTAATAGATTATTTTAACATAAGATGGTTGGTATTGTTTAGATATATTCCTTGGTCGAATTCTGAATCATAGAGGCATCAACCTCAAAAAATACTTATAATACATCTCCTGCTACCGCTGTTCGCACTTCCACCAGTGCATCTGCTCATTTTAAGAACTCTAATAAATGGCGTTGAGAGCCCTGGTTGGGCTGCGCAGTGTATACTGCAGCAGAAGGCCGTGGCGTGTAGTGTTGGAGATGTAATTATTGTAATTCGAGCGCTGGCGGGCAGATGAAGTTTGCTGTCACCTAATTAATGCACGGAGCAGATGGTGGTGGGTGGGGGGACGGAGAGCCAGCAGCAGGGTGAACTGGCAGCCAGCAGGCTTGTTAGCCCGCGAATCAGAATACAGACCAAATGGACAATACTGGGACACACAGTGCCAGCACACGGAGAAACAGCTCTGTATCCCGCATCACATTTATTAGTTGTAGTCGTCGCAATACTTAACATTTGTTTTTTTAAAGCCAGAAGAGTGTCGCCTGGGCAGAACTTCCTTTTTCTACTGACGCAGCTGCTCTCGTCTTTGCTTTTACACAATGAGGGAAATCATTTTTTGGTGCTATTGCTACTGCTGCTGTTCCTGCTGCTTCGATAATAACTCCTCATGGCTAAGGAAGTCAGTTATGACGTAGAATCCATTATTTCTGATCTGCATTTTTGTCGGCAATGGCAGTTGTACTGTTACGATGTCCAATTTTGTGTTCGTGGGTGATATTCATCAGCCCATCCAGAGACTCTTCCCTTCAGCATTATGCCCGTGGGCAAGTAGTTCACGAATAATGAGAGTAGAGATTAAATGAGGCCTCCTGAGCGGCTCGACTGGTGAAGGTGCTCTCATGAGCACAAGTTCAGCTCTATGACCATGGGCTAGAACCCAGGTCATGTGACTAGCCTGCTCTGACCTGGACTGACACAATTGGCACAGCGATATCTGTGGCCAGCTAGGCACTTACAGGCCTGTGGTGCTGTGGGTGGGGGATGTGCCTCTCCTCCAGCACTGCCCAGCTTTGCACCACTGGTACATGATTAAAGATGATAATTTGAAAGTAGGCAGGCTGGGGTACTCAATCCGCACTCCCCCAGTCTTCCCTGTGTGCGGCAACGGGGTTTGTAGCTTCAAACAATGATGCGAAAAAAATGGGTGTGTTTGTTGTGATTTAGCGATTCTGTTTTTTTTTTAAGAACAGAGTTTTAATATCATGAGGGTTAGAATCCAATTATCTGTTGTCTGTTAATGATGCTGTCCCCTTGTGAAGTTCTTTAAAACTGATGCGCAAATCACCTTTGAAACAAAGGCGGAAGTGAGAGCAGCAGACGGCTTGCAAAGGCAAGAGCAAACAGGGGCAGAGGCAGCTGGAAATATTCTAGCACTGAGCACAGAATACTGGGAGTATTAAAGCAGTGAGCGCTGTATCTGTAATGAAGCTCTAATGGACGTTTACTGTATCTGCAAAAGCAGACAAAAGTGTTTCGCTGTACTGGAATCCAAAGCTGGAAGCAGATGGGAGATTACCAGGTGAACCTAATTCCTAATACACTAATGCCATTGTACAATTACATGAATGAATGCAACTAAACTCCTTTTGGAGGACAAGTTCATTTTTAGTGCATGTCTAGGGAAGCAGGAGCCTTTTTTAAATTTTAAGTAATACAGGACTCAGAATACTGAGGTGGTTAGTCTGTTTGCATCTGATAAAGTCACTCAAGTTAAG